TATCATAATAGACATTGTAGTTCTGACAACTGCTTTGGCATTTCGGAATCCAAGTCTTTGGGATCTACAAATTGCACACAACTGTGGAAATTATGTAGGAAACTACAAATTTATTCCAAAATTACATGGAAAAGCCACTTTAAAAAATGTCTTATTCTAAGAGTATTCACATTTCCTATTATAAATATTACTAGTCTTAATTTTCCTAAATTTTTAAAACTAGGCAATAATATCATATTTATTCAGTACCAGGATTAACAAACCGAGTCATGAGTCATATATTTATATACTTTTTGGTGATGTTGATAAAGTTGGTCACTAAAACCCATTACAAACCTTTCTATAAACAAACATAGACGATTATTTTATGAATTTTTATTTTTATTTATTTTTTATTTTTTATTTTTTTTTTAAAGATTTTATTTATTTATTTGAGAGAGAGAATGAGATAGAGAGAGAGCACGAGAGGGGGGAGGGTCCGAGGGAGAAGCAGGCTCCCCGCCGAGCAGGGAGCCCGATGCGGGACTCGATCCAGGGACTCCAGGATCATGACCTGAGCCGAAGGCAGTCGCTTAACCAACTGAGCCACCCAGGCGCCCTTTATGAATTTTTAAAGAAATTATTTTAAAAAGTAGAAACGAGAGGTGAAGTCTTAATTACAGCTTTTCACTTGTTCTCCTCTGCCACTTGGTGAAATAAGCAAAATGGGCACAAATGAGTTCAGATGAAGGCACGCTACTGTTGAGCACTCTGCACTATTTAGAGTAGCTGATGAAACATTAAGTTGCTATAAACACTTTTTTGCTATACTGTTAACATTTTTAGAAAAATTATTAATATTACATCAGCTCATAGCGGATTCCTCAATTTCCTGGCTCAATTGTTTTCTCCATCAGTAGATTTAGATTTCGTATGTCGAGACCGGAGTGGTGGCCTGCTAAAAAAAACAGGTCCTTAAGGAAGTGGGTAATTGATGGTTAGGCTTTCACCAAATTAATCTGTAATTCTGCATTCTTTTCAGTAAGACCACACGGAAATGATTCTCAACTAGGACATTTCTTGTTCTGTATCCTTTTTTTAGGTGAACTGTCAAATTGGCTGTTGTATTTTGGACAGGGTGAGGGTGGAGCTTCTTGTTTTCGTGGAAATAGCTATAGCAGCCAACTGCTAGGATCTGAGCGGCGGAGTAGTCCCCTCGGGAACATTTTTGTCCCTGGCCAGGCCTGAGTTCCAGCAGTTCTAAGAGGTGAGCCAAAAGGCACAGACCACCCCATCCCCGACACGGTTTGGTGGGAAGTGGCATCATGGTCTTTGCTATGAAGGAAGTTAACAGGGAAAGGAAAGGGAGCTTGGCTCATAGCTGATAGCTACGTTCATATCGGGCACATCTCTGGGAGAGGCAGGATCACTGAGACAAAGGTCTCCAGAACCTAGTATCTTAGAACTAGACTACTGACTTGAACGTAACTCTTGCACTTTACAAGTGAGGAAACAGATCCAGATGGATTTGCCCAAAGTCACTGGTGGCAACTAAGCCAGCAAGAAGACCCAGGTCTCTTGGCTTCCATCCAACACTTTCCCACCACACCCTCCTGCTTGTCCACAGCAGAAAAAAACATGAAATGGTATCTCATTCAATTCCTTGAATTTACCAGCAAGCTAATGAAAATAATCTGGCAAAGACATTTTTAGCAGTGTGTTCCACATTTTCTGCACCTTATGGAAGGTGCTTTTTTTGGGGGAAAAAAACTATTAATACAAAACTGTGAAAAAAACCTCTAGGACTCAACTGTTACTTTTTCTAAATGACAAAATATTGTATTTGGCAAGTGAACAATTCAGTTCATACTTTGGTGGTGGAAACACAGTTAGGGTACAGGATAGGCCAAGTTTATACACATACAAGTAAACAAGTGGTCAGCTATTTTTAAATGCACCTACTCTGTCCAATGATTAGATGATCCAAATTCTGAGGACAGAAGTAGGTTATTTCTATTTGGCCACCCACTGAATACTTCCATAATACTGCATTTTTGAACAAAATTATATGAAGCTTGTTCTCATCTAGGATGATATATTAGAATTCCATGGGAGCTGAAGGACATGACACACAGCCTTCTGTAATTTCTTGGGTCAGAGGGGTCTTGAGAGGATCTATCATTTCTACTGGGTAGGCATCTTCCAGGGCCACAGCAATTCTGACAGAGCAGAGTACAACAAAATATATCAGACTCATTCCCACTATGTGCTCTACCAAAATCTAAAATTTTTGCCATACTTGCCTTCAGATTTTTAATAAAATAAAACACTACAGATATAATTGGAGGCCGTTGGTCCCCTCTTAATGACACCATCCTCCTCGCTACACCCCCGCTGAGGTGACTGCTATCCTGAATTTGGTATTTACCATCCCCATACAGGTTATTAGATTATAACTGTGTAAGTCTGAATCCACATATAGTGGTGTTTTGCAGGTTTTCAAACTTTAAATAAATAACATCTTTTTAATGTTTGTTTATTCCACTCAATGTTTCGGATTTACCCACACTGATCTATATAACTCAATTAATTTTAACCCATTACTGTATGCCACTGTACGAATATAATACAATTTATTTTCCCCATCTCCTGTTGATGCCCATTTGTGTTTTTTTTCTCATTTTACACTATTCTTAACAATGTTGTGATAAACATTTTGGTACATGATTCCTTATGCACATGTACAAGAGTGTCTCTAAACACGGAGGGGTGCCCCTGGATGGTTCAGTCGGTTAAGGGTCCAACTCTTGATCTCAGCTCAGGTCTTTTTTTTTTTGAAGATTTTATTTATTTATTTGACAGAGAGAGACAAAGCGAGAGAGGGAACACAAGCAGGGGGAGTGGGAGAGGGAGAAGCAGTTTTCCCACCAAGCAGGGAGCCCGATGTGGGGCTCAATCCCAGGACCCTGGGATCATGACCTGAGCCGAAGGCGTACGCTTAACGACTAAGACACCCAGGCGCCCCTCAGCTCAGGTCTTTATCTCAGGGTCATGAGTTCAAGCCCTGCATTGGGCTCCATGCTGGGTGTGGAGCCTACTTAAAAAAAAAAAAAAATTGCCGAGAGATGAGATTTCAGGATTGAAGGATATGTGTACGTTCAGTTCTTTATTTTACTAAATTGCTCTTCAAAAGTGGTTGTACCAACTTACAGTGTATAGACAGCTTCCACTGCCCTCCAACCTTACCAGTGTTTGATTTGTCAGACTTAAACATTTTACCATTATGAAGAATGTAAAATGATACCTCATTGATATTTCATGGCCATTTCCAATGTTACCGTAAGATGATCATGTTCACCTATTTATTGACCAGTCAGGTTCCCTCATCTGTAAATGACCAACTTGCATCCTTTGCCCATTTTTCTATTGAATTCTTTCTCTAAATGATTTGTCAGTTATATGTATCACATTCTATCCTGTCTTTTCACTTTGCTTATTTGATCTTTTTGAACAGAAGTTCTAAATTTTGGTGTAGTTGGGCGCCTGGGTGGCTCAGATGGTTAAGCGTCTGCCTTCGGCTCAGGTCATGATCCCAGAGTCCTGGGATCGAGTCCTGCATCGGGCTCCCTGCTCCTTGGGAGCCTGCTTCTCCCTCTGCCTCTCTCTCTCTCTCTCTCTGTCTGTCTCTCATGAATAAATAAATAAAAATCTTTAAAAAATAAATAAATAAATACATTTTGATGTAGTTAACTAAATACTTCCAATTATGTTTTGTGGCCACAGCTAATCTTAGGCCATTGTTCTACCACAGAAATTTTAGAATCAGCTTGTCAAGTTCCAGGAGAAGTCCCGTTGGGATTTTGAACATCATTGAATGGAATTTATAAATTAGTTTGGTATTTGAATTGCTCTAGTGGCTCTTTGGACAATAAAGACCTGGTGGCTGAAAGATGGACTAATTTTTTTTTTTATTAACCTCTCAAAGCAACAATTACATACCTTATAAACTGCCATGTCTCTCCCATTTACAGATTTATAAACTCAGTTACTCAACAGACATTATAAAGACCCCCCAAAACCTTTGAACTCTCTTGACTCTTAATTCTATTCCAGATATCTATCCTAAGAAAATAACCCTAAATATGGGGGGGGGGAGCCTAGCTGGATATAGAAAATGCTCATGGCAGCATTCCTCACAGTAGGAAAAAAATGGAAATAACCTAAATATAAAAAACAGAGAAATGTTTAAACTAGAGTAAACAAACCCAACGATGAACTATGCCAATAAAATTCCTGGCTCTAAAATCCATATATAACAACAATGAATTAGTGTTCACTTCTGGCAAAGCATTAAGTGATAAAATTAAGATATCAATTTTGTGTACCATATGAATACAGATGCAGAAAAAAACCTTCAAATATGTGCACGGGAAAATAAAATTTACTAAAATCTTTACAACAGTTTGGTTAGAAGTAGGGATTACAGATGATTTCTCCTACCCTGCTTAAAAAGATAAACTGTCTAAAGTTACTAGGCGGTGATTTTGTTACTCTTACATCAAAGAAAAAAATATGAGAAAGAACCCAGTGTTATGGGGAGCTAGTTTCCATTTATAGCAAAATGCATGTAAAAATATTTCTAACAAGTAATAAAAGGGAGCAGTACCCCAGTATTTCTTCAGTGCTTCATTTAAGGCTCAAAGAAACACTTAAGGCAGAAAGCAAAGCATTCAAATTCCGACAGTCGGGATTTGGATTCTGGCTCTATCGCTGATTATTTTAGTAACTTTTGGGAAACAGTATCCACCTATTTTCTCAGTGGAAAAAATGAAAATATTTAGAGATAGGGATTAGAAACAAATGGGCATTCATTAAAATACCTCTAAAATTTCATCCAACTCATGCAAAACAGAAAGACTGCCTATTTCATTTTCTCTCAAGTATAAAGGAGAGTAAACAGCAGGGAGTTTGCCACTGGAAAGTGAAAAACAAATGCCCATGTTACTTCTGTTGCACTTTACCTTAAAGACATGGAAAGCTTCAAACTGGATGTTGGGACTTTTATCTCGAAGAAGGTTCATCATCAGTTTGAGGTTCTCTGGCTTGCTGATGTACTTTGTCATAATGGCAAAGTTGTGTCGGTCCAGGATCAGTTCACCTAGCAGCTACAAAAACAAAAAACAAAAACCCAAATCAGAGAGATAATCTATCTGAGAATCATCTGATTCAAAATATATTGCACTTCTCCCTGAAAAATCAAACTATAAGTGTGGTTAGGAATGTTGATGTGAAAAAAAATTGAGTCCTTAAGTGCATCTTACGTTTAGCACCGGCATGAAAGGAGTAGTTATTATTGTTATTTTAAGCTTTTCACACAGTTTTGCTAAAGTCGGTGATTAATGCATTTCTGAATCTTTTTTTTTTTAAAGCAAGCCATTGCTGCAGCTTAAAAAAGTTCTCTTTGTAGCTCTCACCCAGAGCTAGCCAGAAATGAATTTATTATTTTCATCACTCACTTTAATCCTGCTTCCCAGTACTGCATTATTTCTTAGGCATTATGGTAGAATAAGAATAACAAAATTGACTCTACAGTTATACCTCCCTTCCTTGAATAAATGTACTCTAGTAGCTTGCTGGGAAAACAGGTTATGCCAAGTGAGTGTTACCTTCCCCCTAACATTTTTTTTTTAATTTTATTATGTTATGTTAATCACCATACATTACATCATTAGTTTTTGATGTAGTGTTCCATGATTGATTGTTTGCGTGTAACACCCAGTGCTCCATTCAGTACGTGCCCTCTTTAATACCCATCACCAGGCTAACCCATGCCCCCAACTCCCTCCCCTCTAGAACCCTCAGTTTGTTTCTCAGAGTCCATAGTCTCTCATGGTTTGTCTCCCTCTCCGATTTCCCCCCCTTCATTTTTCCCTTCCTACTATCTTTTTTTTTTTAACATATAATGTATTATTTGTTTCAGGGGTACAGGTCTGTGATTCATCAGTCTTACACAATTCACAGCGCTCACCATAGCACATACCCTTCCCATCCCCGAACTTTTATTACAAAACCAGCTAGATAGCCTGGGGGGGTGGTGGCGAGAAGAATCACTGACCCTGAATCCATATTAAGTTTAATATGTACAGCAAGTTTTTATAAAAAAGTAAAACAAAACATTTCCTGGTGACAAATTAATAGCTCCCCCCAAATGCAGCATTATTCCATGTTATGAACTGCAGGTCTGTGCCTCCCTAAAATCTACATGTGGAAATCCTAACCCCAAATGTGAAGGTATTAGGAGGTAGGATCTTTGGGAAGGTGGGATCGCAGGAATGGGACAGGTGCTCTTATCAAAGAAACCCCAGAGAGCTCTCTGTTGGCACCTTGATCTTGGACTGCTCAGCCTCCAAAACTATGAGAAACAAATGTTGCTTAGGCCACCCGGTCCGGGGCATTTTTGTTATAGCAGCACAAACAGATTAAGACACTTCAAAACAAAAATACTCAAAGTGAGAATAGTTGAAGGCCCACTAGCAGCACGGTTGACCGTTCTTTACCTCATAAACTTTTATTCTCATATAGGAGTAGCAATTCCTAAAACTTCAGCAACCAGGCAGCTGAAATGTACCCTTCACAAACTTTTATATATAATCTACTTAGTTTTCGAATTCTCCTATTCACCAGACTTTTTCTGGATGCCTCATTGTACTGATGGTTACAGAAATCCTGGATGGGAGGAGAAAGCACAGGGAACTATGGGCTGGCTGTCTATCACAATACAGTCCAGCAACAGAACCCCAGAGGTGTGTATGTGGTGGCGTGTGCTGTGAGTATACGAGTGTGTGTTTGTGTGTGTCTGGCTGCCAGTAAACAACCACCTTGCCTGTGATGCATCTTGTGTCTATTTAACAAATAAGAACTACATACCTTAAAGTTAGTTTAGTGCACAAAAATAATGGTTGTTAAGCATAAGACATGATGACCACTGTTGGATGTTAGCTGGTTAGTCTCAAACATGGGACAGTAGTCATGTAAACTATTCAACTTCATTTTCCTTAATCTCTCTGCAGCATCTAAAGCTAACTGAACACTCTTCTGGACACTTCTTCTTTGCTTTTGGTTTCAAGGCCACTGCATTCTTCTGGTTTCTTATCTCTTGCAGCTTGTGCCTTTGCTCCTGTGTTACTGCTCCCCTTCCTTTTGCTCTACTTTTGCTCTACACATGTAGGAATTTTCCAAGTGGTATATGTGAATCTCTGATCTTTTTTCTGTCTCCAGTCTCATCTATGCTCATGGCTTCAACTGTAACATCTAGGAAGATGTCTCCCAAACCTACATTTGGAGTCTCAGTTTCTTTCCTGAGCTCTATACCAACGTTTCTAAGTGCCCACCTGGTGGCTCCAGTGGACCACTCTGCTGGCCAATCACACTGGTGTCTCTGAAACAGGGAGACAGGGTGCTATCTTCCTACATGTTTACATGTCAGCAGAAGGGCTCCCAGACTCTCAAAAAAACCCAACCACTTTTGGTTGTAAAGCTGACAAGATATATATATATATATGTCTATGTATATAAGATATACCCACTTAAGATATACATGGGTATATATAGATATATGCCTCATTACAGATAGAGATCTGTATCTACATCTACAGATTCTATATTGATATAAAGATATATTTATATAAAACATATAAAAATCATTAATATATATCACATATATACAAATACATATAGTACACACATACACCTATTAAAAGGTCTTTCAACAATAAATTTCATTAAAAAAATTTACCCTTAAAATTTGCATGCACACACACACCCACTCAAAGCATTTAACACGATAAAATGGAAAAAAATTGTTTTTAGGTCTCTGTATTAGATTTTATAGGCTTCAATATAGAGTAAAGCCAAGCACAGCAAGTAGAAATGAGTTTTTTTTAAAACTTAGGGTTTTACTGAAACTGACCAGAGCCAAAAACAACCCCCAAAATTTTGCCAAGCTTCTTTTGAATTATAATCTTTCTTGCTAGTAATTAAATGACTCTGAAGAAGATAAGAAATAAATTCCAAAGCTCCGTCATGTGAGGGGAAGGAATTTCTCTGTTAATTATTTTTTATTGACGCCAGGAATCTAAGCACCCCAAGGTAGTTCAGAAAAATTTAGAATATGATTATCAAAAGATGGCAGCCAATACTTCGGAGTCAGAAAATTGCCTAGCTTTAAGACAGTTTATCACTTACAGAATACTGTAAGTATGTAAGTTTGCTCCCCACCAAATTTCTCTTACATATTGTACTGTAAGTATTTTCTGAAATGATGAAACATATATGTACAAAATATTACAGAATTCGGAGATATAAACATGGCTGTGTCAAAACAGAACATATTGCTACCACAGACCTAATTCTCAAAAGGAAAAACCAACAGTGCACCAGCAGAGCTCTCCAAAACAACATTTTTCTATTAAAGATAAGAATACACAGCTCTCTCCTTGAATACGGTGAAATTAGACTATTTTAGTGATGTCTCTGCCTATAATCTAGCATTCAAAAAAGCCAAACCTTTAGTACTCATTTTAACAATTTCTGCATTCTTAGATATGCTTTATCTGTCTTTTACTAGTTTTCTTCAGTGTCCAACCAGTGCTCAGTTTTACCATAGTGCAAATAAAATATTTGTGAGACACGCACTATAAAAGATTTTAGGCAAGAGTAGCAGCCAACACAGTATGTCTGGGTGGATTAATAAAGAACAGGAAAGAGGCCTTCTGAGTGGGGTTGGGCATCTGTAAATAAGGAGGAAGCACAATCAAGTGGGCAAGGGACAGTTTCAATACCACATTCAGACTCAGTGCAGAGGTGTCTGGCCCCAGAGCCATGTGAAAAGGGGGCTGGATAGTGGAGAGCCAGGTGGCAGCAGACAGCAGTAAAGAATGAACCTTCTCGCTCCCCTATGCTCCCCACCAAATTTCTATTACATACTGTACCAATCACACATGTGCTGAATTAACAGGCTTCTATATCAAATGCAAATGCGTCCTGCTAGGGAGCAGGACAAGGTGGGGTTGACAACATCTTGAGAACAGAATGAGGGCAATGGGCACAGGGGTAGGAAGGGATGACAGGGTAACAAGAAGGAAAAAGCAGGAAGGAGCCCCAGAAGGGAGATGTTAAGGGGAACAACTGTTAGCTTTATAACTTCACCTAAAGCCCTAGCAACAGTCGATCGCAGAAAAATTTCTATCACCAATTCTTCTCACTGCTGAAAACGGTATGAGGGTAAATTCTGAAGTCTATGACTCTCAGCTTTCTTGATCCCCATTTAGTTCAATCACCTTAGTTCATACCAGTGTTGCTACTTTGGTTCAGGATCTTATGGATTCCCACTAAAAAGAGGAAGGATTTAGAAAATGTATGAGAGATTTCTTATACACTGGCGTCTCGGAGCATTGTCAGCTCTGTTTACTGTTCAGTTTCTCCTTCCCTCCGAGGGCAATGATCTCTTACAATACAGACCAGCTCCCCTGTTTTGGGCTGTGCTTGTGGAACCCTTTACAAATAAGGAATTCTATTCTTTAGGTACACAGCTGTGGCAACAGGATGTGGCCTTATTTTCAAATGCTTTAACAAGCTTTCTGAACGTGGGAGAGCATGGCAGCTTGTCACTTGCCTTTGTCGGAAGCTTGATCTCATCAATCTAGGCTCCAGCAGCAAGAGCAGTGAACCCAAGGTATATTTTCCATGTGGATCACCTCGTATGGGTTTCCACGCAAGGGGAAACTCAATAAAGAGTGCTAAATGACTGGCTGAAAATAGCACACTGGCCCCCCCAACAATGGGTAATCCTGGAGCAGCAAGGGCACAAATTCAGGGGCAGGCAGGTCCCGGCTAAGGCAAAATCACAGGTAAAGTGAACTGACAAAAATGTCATACAAAATACTCTTAGTTTATCACTTCAGTTAAAAGTGTATTCAATATTTAGAAACAAACACATTGTTCTATGAATGTCACTTTCCCAACATGTAAAAATAATACAAGTGATGTTTAGTAAGCCCAAACATCATATAAAGTGCCTGACAAAGCCAGCCGATTATTATCTGCCAGTAACTTTCTTTGGAATATCTGAGTGGGATCTGAAGGGTAGAGATGCAGCTCTAACTGACGTCCACTCCCAATAGGACCAGTCCTACCTCCTCTTGACCAAATGGCTGCTTCCAGGCACTTTTTTATTTATTTGAGGCTGGGGCGGGGGAAGGGGGCAGAAGAAAGGGAGAGAGAGTCCCAAGCAGACTCTGTGCTGAGTGCGGAGCCCTATGTAGGACTCAATCTCAGGATCCCCAGATCACTACCTGAGCCGAAACCAAGACTGGGACACTCAACCGACTGTGCCACCCAGGCGCCCCCAGGCACCTTTACACTGAAGGAGGGAAGGCTACTCACTGACTATGTGGCCCTACTCTGCTGGGCTGCCTGGGCCAGGGGAGAACGAACTTCCACAGGCATTTCATAGGTGATATAATCTACAAGAGCAAATGCCACTTGGTTACACACAAACACCCCTACCACCCCCGTCATTGCTTCCTGTCCCTGCGCGCTCCTTAACTGTTCTAAAATCCACCTTAAAGTTATATATTTATCTTTTTCTTTATCTATTGTCTGTTCTCCTCCAACAGAATGTAAGGTCCATTGAGGTGCCACTTCATTTTGTTCTTAGCTGTCACGGTAATGTTAGGAATAGGAGCACATAAATATTTGTTGACCAAATGGAATGCCCTATTACCCTCCTCACCACCCCCAATAATTGGTCCAACTATCTGCAGCTAATTGAGCACTGACTTTATTTTCTTTTCCAGCTGGAAATATCATCTTTTAACCTCCTTCCAGAGTCTGTTTCAGTGTAAGACTAGCATTTTTAGAAAAGTACAGTTTTGGGTCCATGATCAAGAACCCAAATTTATTAAAGATTATTAAAGATTATTCTTTTAACTCTTAAAGAGTGACTATTTTCATATTTCAGAATCTTTGCTGGAAATACAATTTGAACATGTCATGTTAAATGGTGAAGGAATTAAAAATGACCTACAGTAGAACACTAACAAGAATGCTCAGAATATGGAACCCAGCAATGCAAAAAAAAAAAAAATCTTTAGAAAAATATGTTACAAATCTGGGGGTAAGTGCTCAGATGGGGGTGAGCCCCATCACATAACCTTTTCCTCTCCCCTTCTCTGTAAAATAGCCCACAAAGTCTAGTTTACAGAGAGATGTATAAGAGAAATAGGGTCATTTTTTCCTGTTTCAGATACACTGAAAGAGAACTATAGGAGAACCTTGCTGATTCTTATAAACAGTAATTCAGATCTTAATTTCAAGCTAAGTGTGATTTCTTTTCATCTTCACAAAATACGCCCTAGGAGAGAACTGTGGTTGTATTTAAATTAACTTAAGCTTGATTTTCTTTTGGAGTTGAAATATACTAAATTCTACTTTATCACGTACGTATTATTTATATTGTTACTTCCAAAAAGTCTTTGAGGCAGGACACTTACATTGTTTTGCTACAAAGTACAGTCATAACATGAAACATATTTCCCAAGCTACAAAAAAAGGGACACCTTAATTTTTCTCTATGTACTTGTCCGCTCAGAGCCATCATTTACTAGCATGATATCAACTGGGACTCTTAAAGAAATTTGATATTACCTTTATTTTATTTTATTTTTTTAAAGATTCCATTTATTTATTCATGAGAGAGAGAGGTGGAGGCAGAGGGAGAAGCAGGCTCCCTGCTGAGCAGGGAGCCCAATGCGGGGCTCGATCCCAGGACCCTGGGATCATGACCTGAGCTGAAGGCAGACACTTAACCCTGTGAGCCACCCAGGCGCCCTGTAATCTGATATTACCTTTAAAGATTGTCTCTTAGTCACATAATTCTCAGACTGAAGCAATTTCTCATAGTCTTCAAAAATCTAATGAAAAGAAAATAAATATTAGAGTGTAAAACCAGCAGTGGTTTCTCTGTATTAGGTTTGCTTGCTCTCTTGCTTCAAAAGTAAATCCCCAACCCACTAGGCCAGTGCGGCCCAGCTGCTGTGCTTTGCATCTGTCTCTGTGCATAATAACTCTATGCTGATCACACTGTCCACAGGGAGCTTTCCCCCATTTCATCATCCTCACTTAACACATAAAGACACTGAGGGGTAGGAAGGTCACGTGATACAACAGATGTACTTGTCCATTTTATTTTAGTTCTGCAAATTGAAAATTGAGTAGAAAAATGGAGTATTTGAGTCTTCTCAATACATTCTTTTGAATAAAACATCTATTAACTCATCTATTAACTGAGTAGCAAAATAACACCTTTCATGCCATTTTAGAGAAGTTGGTAGCTGGTAGCTATTAGCGCATGAATAATTTAGGAAAAGATTCAACACACTTAGGGCTTCACATGATACCCCGTGAAGAGTCAAACTGTCAAGTTCGTAGTGTGGACAGGTAGAGGAATGGGGCAACTTTTGCCACACAATGGCCATGCTAATCCCAGCTGGTCTCTCTGGAGGACTTCCACTCTCCTCAAAAGCTGGGGGATGCTGGTGTTTGGGGCCCCTGTTTCCCACTGTGGCTGTCAACCATTGCCTGGGGCCTTCAGTTTCACACAGAGCGCCAGACACTGGGGAAGCTAAGCGTCCACCTCCTACCACGCAAGGACATGCCTCAGAGACCACAGAGGTGGGAGGAGTGAGCCCAATGGAGAACTGCAGGCAGGAGAGTCCAGGAGCTGAGGAGGGTGGAAAACAGTCCTGCTCCTCAGAGGGCCAAGTGTGAGGTGTGCGTGCGCGGATGCGATGAGGGCAAGCAGTGCACACGGAGGATAACTTCCAACAAGGAATTAAGAAAGTGAAAAGTAAAAACAAAACCAGGTAGTGCACATTAAAGTCATAATAATTACTCTCTTTTATATGAAGGACTTACTGTTTATTGTCAGGATTTTGTGGGACATGAAATTTATTAAATTTTGTGGTAAGTTTTTTAAAATTTTAGTTCCAGTATAGTTAACATACTGTGGTATATTAGTTTCAGGTATATAATATAATGATTCAACACTTCCATACATCACCTGGTTCATGATGACGAGTGCACCCTCAATCCCCTTCAACTGTTCCCCTATCCCCCCGCACCTACCTCCCCTCTGGTAACCATCGGTGTGTTCTCTATAGTTAAGAGTTTGTTTCTTGGTTTCTCTCTCTCTCTCTCTTCTTTTTCCTTTGCTCATTTCTTTCTTAAATTCCACATGAGTGCAATCATATGTAACCAGAAACTTCAAATACATGTATAACGTATGACTGACTCCCCAGGACACCAGTTTCACATGCTCCCATTTCATAGTTTACTGCTAAAGAAATATGAAACTCAGAAAGTATGAAATGTCTGAGAGAGCATGAGGTCTCAGAGGTGGTGTTCAGGTCAGTGCAGGAGGCTCTGTGTCTGTGAAGCGACTAAATTACACAAGACGTGACTATAGGTACAAAAACAAAATCAGGTAAATAAGGGATCAAAGAGAATGAGTTTACAGTCTTCCAAATTATTGTGTACTATTTCCTGAACGCAAAGCATTCCTGCACAACACATTTACATCACTCATTCTACAGAAAAAATTAGTAGCTGATGTCGCGGGTTTTGTCATAAACTATCTCAGCTCTCTTATTTTCACTTATTATAAACGCACATCTAATGAGTCTTTAACATTCCATCTAGCATCTACAGTTTCTGATCAGGTTCCTGCCTCTCTTGAGCTCAGGGAGCTCAAGAACCAGCCAGGAAGGTACAGACACACCGTAATACAATGTGGAAAATGGCAGCAGCCGGGGTGGGGAGGGAACACGCGTGCATGTACGTGGATGGGTGGGATTAGGGAAAGCTTCCTGGAAGAGTCACGTTTCAGTGGAATCTCAAAAGGATGGGTTGGATTCACCATTTGAGAAGGGACTTGGAAGACAAATATTTTGGCATTTCTACAAGTAAAACTAATCATCAAGCAAGTAAAATGATTTCTTTTAGTGAGGGTGGAGTGCTCTTCTATGGTTACCTACTGCCTCTTAAGGGCAATATGGATGCTCTTAAATCAGGATCAAAGTAAGCAGGTGCCAGTCATTTTCTGGAACTCCGGCTACAACAGAAACAGGTGTGAAAAATGAGAAAGCCCTGATCTCCTGCCATCCTCAATTTTCCACAAAGTTTCCTGATGACCTGGCTTCCAGGTAAATGGACAAATTGGGTGCATGGTAAACTATGGTTGGTGTCTGTTGTGAATCATATATAGGAGCAAGTGTCCATAGATCTAAGTTGGGGGGGAAGAGAAAATGAGGTAAAGTCTTTTTTTTTTTTTAAGATTTTATTTATTTATTTAAGAGACAGAATGAGAGAGAGAGAGAGTACATGAGAGGGGGGAGGGTTGGAGGGAGAAGCAGGCTCCTCGCCGAGGAGGGAGCCCTATGCGGGACTCGATCCTGGGACTCCAGGATCATGACCTGAGCCGAAGGCAGTCGCTTAACCAACTGAGCCACCGAGGCGCCCCAAAATGAGGTAAAATCTTAAAAAGGACTTCTACTTACAGTGTCATAATTTTGTTCTAAGAAGTCTGCGACCAACACTTTATGTCTGGTTAGTAAGTCCTAGAAAAAGAACAGTTAAGTGAAATAAAATTATTATAGCTAATAAATTTTATAAATCTGGTTTTTCTAAGAATTTTATAAATCCATTCATTTGAAACATATAAAAGTTTCTGAAGAATATTTTCTTTACATCAACAGAATTATTTCCATTCTTAGTTTAAGATGTGAAATACAAGTTTGTTTCATGTCAACAACAAAAAGTTTTAATTCATATCATTGTTAAATTTATGATAGGAATAATTTAACTAGTGAAACAAATAGCACCTAAGAGATGGGGTTTACAGTATATTTCTTCAAGCCATGACTACATTGTGATTATGATCTAATAAATATCCAAATAAAGTTTATGATCTATTTGAAATGTCGTTAATAGCTATTTTTCTTTTTTTCTTTTTAAGATTTTATTTATTTATTTGACAGAGAGAAACACAGCGAGAGAGGGAACACAAGCAGGGGGTGTAAGAGAGGGAGAAGCAGGCTTCCCGCGGTACAGGGAGCCCAACTTGGGGCTTGATTCCAGGACCCTGGGATCATGACCTGAGCCGAAGGCAGACGCTTAATGACTGAGCCACCCGGGCGCCCCTATTTTTCTTTTTCTTTTTTTTTTAAAGAATGCCTAATGGCTTAAAACCCTTATCTCGTAAGTTAACTTAAAAGATTTTTAGGGATTTCAACCTTTAGTTTTTTTACTTAACCACGTTTAAAACAGAGGTGCCAGTTTAAAACAGAGGTGCCTAGGACGCTGGGAAGCTCAAAAATGACACTTAACTGAGCCATCGCAGGCTCATCCTGCTCTCGGGTTAATGGACTATGTGGTGGTGTGCAGTGACTGAGTCATACAGTGCACCCTTTCAGAGCTAAAGACAAGTAGACCAATCTTATTACAGGCATAACTCTCAGAAAACTGAACAAAAGCATAAAGGAACATTTGACTGTCTTCAGCTCACACCTAAATTATATCCTTAATTCACCTTAATGTTGAAAGAAAACAAGCCTCACCTAATCCCTTTTATACGCTTAGAGGCTAAATACTCTGGGTAGAATGTAGAATTTAATTAAAAACATTAACAAAAATTTTAAAGTTTTCCAAAATAAGTTCTTATACTTTAATACACATTTAATTAAAACTTCCTAAAAGCATACAGAAGATCCACAACATAAATTCACAGAGAACAAGAAGGCAGCAGCAATGGCAAAACTCACCTATTTCTATCTTATTAAGTAAAATATTTAATGCATTCTTGCGCTATTAATTTTCAAGTTCAAGAACAATGATATCATTTCATTACTTATCATCACATCTTGATTGACCACTGTGCCTATTAGTGGAAACCAGTACTTTTTTTCCCAGTAGAACATTCAGTATTCTGGAACTGGAATTTTAAAATGGGAAAACCCTCTATAGGAATTCATTCCTGGTCTGTCTGAGGTCAAAATTCAAACTAGTTCCTCTCTCAGGGGACCCCCCACACACAAAATAAGGTAGTTCCACGGTATTCTTTGTGGTGTCTAGTTTTCAGACACCCCCTTCCTTAATGTCTTGAGCAGGATCAGTGATTTTTCTGAGCTGACCCTGGTTAGAAAGGGTTTCTTTCTAAAGGCTGCAGCAGACCCTGGCTCCACCTGTTGCAACAGTCAGCAGGCTTGAGTATGGGGACTGTGCCCTCTCATGGCCCCAGGCCTGCGCACACAATGATGGAGGCAGCCGATGGAGCACCGTGCAGATGAGTGCTGCCTGGAAAGGTTTCCATTCATTATACATTAGTGCTACTCCAAAGAAAGAGGAATCAGGAGGGAGTCCTGTTAGTAGCACCTCCGCCAAATTCTAAGGGAAAAAATTTGAAATAACTTACATATCCAATAATAGAAAAATAAAATATGATGGGGTAGAATTCCTCCAGCATGTGTAGATGGTGGGTGCAGCCAATAAATGATTCTCTCTCTCTCTCTCTCTCTCACACACACACACACACACTCACACTCATGTGTATATATTCACAGTTATACCCTCAAATTTCTGTCCGTAGTAGATGCATGTACAAAGCTGGAGGAATTGACCATATATATACACATACACCCACGCGTATATATACACATAGTACAAAGACAAATATAATTGCTGCATTATAGATCATATGAGTGGAAAAAATTAGCTAAAATCTGGGCGCCTGGGTGGCTCAGTCGTTAAGCGGCTGCCTTCCGCTCAGGTCATGATCCCAGGGTCCTGGGATCGAGTCCCGCATCGGGCTCCCTGCTCCGCGGGAAGCCTGCTTCTCCCTCTCCCACTCCCCTTGCGTGTGTTCCTGCTCTCGCTATCTCTCTCTCTGTCAAATAAATAAAATCTTTAAAAAAAAAAAAATTAGGTAAAATCCTACCCAAAAAGGAAAAAGCAGAAAGTTGCAAAGAAAAATAAAGTTCAAATTTTAAATAATTTAAAATTTTAAAAATTATTTGAAACAGTGTACTCTTTCATTGCACCTCCTCACAATTCTGTTTTGACAAGACTAAGTTTTGCATAGTGTATGTATCATGCTAAAAAAATGTGATATTGCTAAGTGAGTGACTTCTGCACACCTTGGGAGACCCAGGGCAGAGTGACAGAGACACACGTGACAGTAGATGGGCCAAACAGCAGCTACCATTCATGGAGGATTTACTCCGTGTTGCGGAGCATGCAGAGCGCTTTACACATGCTATTTCTAATCTTCACAATTCTGCAAAGCAGGGATTATGTTCCTTATCTTCATAGATGAGGAAAACGAAACTCCAAGGTTAACTACTTGCTCAAGGACACAGAGCCAGTCAGGTGACAGAGGGAGGTGAAACTCAAACCCCTCCTATCATGTCAATTCTTGGAAGGAGGGATGAAAAAAAAATTCTGATCGTCAGGAATGCTTTTTGGGAAAGGACAATTTGTAGACAAAAAATATAAACCATGTTAAAACATTAATGAATAAACTGGGCAACAGTCATTTTGGAACTCAAAACAAAAAAGGCTAGTCTAAGAGGTTAAAAACAAAAGACAAAACCAAACGAAAATCAAACTAAAACCAAGCCAATCAAACAACCAAACCCCCCCCCGAAGCCATCTACTTAAAAAGAAACAGTGACTTATGGTCACTGTTCTATTCTATTAACCGCAGCATTTTGGAAAAATATAGAAATTGGCATTTCCAATATTGTTGGCATACTGGAAAGCTTTTTTTTTTCAAAGATTTATTTGTGGGCGAGAGAGAGAGAGAGAGAGAGAGAGAGAGGGAAAGTGAGCATGGGGGAAGGGCAGAGGGAGAGGGAGAGAGAATAATAAGTAGACTCTGAGCGCAGAGCCTGATGCGGAGCTTGAGATCTCAGGATCTGGAGATCATGGCCTGAGCTGAAATCAAGAGTTGGATGCTTTTTTTTTATTTTTTAAAGATTTTATTTATTTATTTGACAGAGAGATAGCAAAAGCAGGAACATAAGTAGGGGGAGTGGGAGAGGGAGAAGCAGGCTCCCCACTGAGCAGGGAGCCCAGTTCGGGGCTCGATCCCAGGACCTTGGGATCATGAGCTGAGCCAAAGGCTGACACCTAACGACTGAGCCACCCAGGCAACCCCCCACTTTTTTTTTTTTTAAGCATACTAGAAAACTTTTTATGGTTATTTAGATTTTCAGAGACTTAAGTCTGATGGAAAATATGCTGAGGTATAAATTAACATCAATTTATTTTTGATATTTAATATTGTGCTGCAAATTAAATTGGGTTGAACATATGATAGCAAGACATTATTATCAAGTATAGTTTATTTTATTAAATGTTGAAAAATCTTTGAGGAAATTTTGAAAAATACATATTCGTTTCTATTTGCTTTTTGCCTCCATTAGAGTTTGTTCTTTGTTTCTAATTATTTGTGAAGCTTTACTTACAGTCTTTAAAAAACAGAACCAACTTTGTTTCCATGACAGCAGAGTCATCAGATAGAAAAGGGGAAAAAATGGGACTATGCTATCTATTAATAGAAAACATCTCCTTAGCTGTTTAAGCACAGACCGTTCGCTAGAAAGAAATGGAATCATCTTTTGTGTTAAATGTCATTCTTCACATTTGATGCATCAAGGCCTCTCTCACCGTGCGCTCTAGATAGACTTTGGGGGGGTTCATCTGCAGCCACTGTACAACCTCTGCTTTGCCGGGTGAGACCGAGTGGCCCGGGGAACGGAGCGGGCTCCCAAGTTACACACCACTCTGAGCACACACCTGGGCTTGTCGCCCCTGCTCCCCCTCCCTCCGCCCACCGGGCAACTCTCCTTACTGCTCTTCCCAGCCTTTTCCTCCCTCTCTTTTCGTCTTTCCCCTCACTCTTTGCCTTTTCCTCCCTCTCTTTTCGTCTTTCCCCTCACTCTTTGCTGTTCTCTTCTTCTCTTATCTTTGTCTTCTTCATCCCCCACTAAGGTCCCCGTTCTTCCTTCTGCTTCTTTCCCTTGCCCTTTGCCTTCTGTCCCAGACTTAACAGGCTCTGCTCTTCCTCCGCCCGCCCGTCTGGTCAGGACAATCTAGGGGGCTAGCAGGACTGGAGGGAGACATGTGGGAAACCCCAGCAGACTGGTGACCGCTCTCCCTTCAAACCCAGATTCTAGATTGGTTCCATACTTACTTTGGGCTTGGCTGAGGCTTTTAGGGAACAATGGCACTATGGCTCCTTTCCTCTCCTGTCTCAGGCAATTCAGCCCTGGTTCCAAACCTGCACCTCCCACCCCCCATTTGTTAAAACAAAAGTGCCACAGTAAACGGTCCTCCTCAAACAGGATTGTGACAGGAGTTCTTATCAATTCAATTTTCCTCATTTCATAACGCTTCCAGAGATATCGTGGAAATGTCAGGATAGACTATGTCACAAGGCGGCAGCTGCCCAGCCTTGCATACCCCTTCAGGGTATCTTTAGGGCGGGGTCCGCTCACCAGTGCTCCCTCTTCTTGGTCACAGCAAGCCCCTCTGACTGCGCTGCCGCAGGCCCCATCCCTTCCCTTCGCTAGGTTTTCTTCCCCCAAGGTCCCCCTTCGTCCTCTCCCCCCAGTCCCTGCTGTTTCTTGTCTCTGCTCCCTGATGCTCCCTCACACTTCCTGCCACCATGTGAGCCTATGTATCTCTTAATGGATTCAGGGCACCTTCTTAGAAAGGCTGAGTAAATCCCTAGGCTATAAATAATACATGGTTTTCAGTAAAACAAACTACCACTTTCACCTTTCTTGACCTCTGGAGAGTTGTTAAAAGGAACTATTTATCATTCGGGTAATAGGCAACTTTGAAGTCATTTACATAAAGTAATAAGATTCAAGTATTTACTAATACTGGTATATGGACTATGTCAATATTATTAAAGTATGTATTTAAGATAATATACAAAAAATAAAAAGTCATACATGGATTACAATTAGGTAACAATATATATTTCTATCCTAAAAAAAGTAGAAGTAAATTTGGAACGACGTAAATGGAGCAAGTAAATTGCTGAAATGCTGTTAAAGAAATGAATCTGAATATATACATTTAAACGAGTTGTCTATTTTGTAATTGACTTGTTTGTCAATGATGCCATTACATCATCAGCTTAAAATATTTTCAGAATTCCTCTTCCAAAATTGTCTTCGGAGCCATGTGATATACACTGAAGAAAACCAGACTCTATTTTAGTCATTTTAAAATTTATTTTTATTATCATTACCATGATTATTACCAAAACCAAAAATAGTTCTAGCTACCACGATCACCCACTTTACCCACTAACCTGAATGTCAAAAGTTTTTTTTTTTTTTTTTTAAAGATTTTATTTATTTATTTGAGAGAGGGAATGAGAGAGCACGAGAGGGAAGAGGGTCAGAGGGAGAAGCAGACTCCCTGCTGAGCAGGGAGCCCGATGCGGGACTCGATCCCGGGACTCCAGGACCATGACCTGAGCCGAAGGCAGTCGCTTAACCAACTGAGCCACCCAGGCGCCCTGAATGTCAAAAGTTTTGCACTGTTTCCAAAACTTTTATCTTCCCTCAAAGGATAAAGCTTGGCCATTACTGAAAAATAACATGTCATAGACAATGATACCAGTTTCAAAATATATTAAATAACGGCACGAACATAAGAATAAGTAAATGATTTTCTAAGACAGAAACCTTTAAGGTGACATCATTCATTGGATGTAGAAGTCCTAGTGTTTTAGTTTGCAAATTAGCTACATTATTTTCTAATATGCTTCCTGAACATCTTTTTGATGGTCCAACTCAGAAACAGAGTGTAGAATGGTGGTTGCCAGGGGCTGAGGGGAAGGGAGAAATGGAGCATTGTTGTTTAACAGGTATTAGTTGCACAACAGTGTGAATATATTTAACACTATTGAACTGTACACTAAAAAATGGTTAAGATGGTAATTTTATGTTATGTTATTTTCAACAATTAAAAAACTTTTAATATAAAACTAAGATTAAATTCATTTCCTATTTAGTAACAGTAGATATTAAGTTTATACGACTATAGATGATTATGAAAAAACTACAATTCATTTATTAGTAATTTGTTTCACTGGGTGGCACTTTACAATTACACTGATTAAGTACTGTGATGTCCTTCATATGCAAAGATGTCATTGTCCAGCTCCCTTCACTACCCAGTTCCTTTCCCTGCAGGTAAACTCTGTTCCTCCTTCCCTGATAACCTTTCAGAGGTATTCAGTGCATATGCACCTTATACCCTTTGTTTTTTAACATAAATGAAAGCATGCTTTGCAGAGAATACTACATGTTCCTTTTTTCACTTATATACTTGCAATTCATTCTGTATGAGTTTGTGACAAGTATTTTGAGTTGTTTTTTCCAGCTAATAGGCCTGATAGAATGCATTACTGATGCTCTTATGATTTGCATCACAGTTGGTTATAAGCTCAGGCCTAAGGAATAGCCTTTTCTGCTTTTTAAAATTAAACTGCCTCCTCAGAGGCCAACTGACTTTAACTAAATGCTAAAACTAAATGACCTAGCTGATTCAGAAAAAAAAAAAAAAAAAATTACCTTAAAAGTAGCAAAGGCATCTGAAGCAATATCAAATGTTGACAACTCCACATACTTAAAGAAGTCTTGGAACTGATTAGAAAAGAGAATGATTTTGGCAAGTGGTTCGTGTCGAATACATTCTCTCAGCATAATCCCACAACGTAAGGCGATCTGTGGGGCTTCATATCTAAAGCATAAACAAGAGAGAAATAGAGAACACCATTACCTATTAACAAAATAATATTAATGGTATCAAAAGAAAACATTTCAATACTGCTATTAAAGGAAGCATAGATACCATTTGTCACAGTTCATTCAAACACCATTCATTCAACACCCACTGAATACCTAAGATGTGCCTGGCACTATTCCAGACGCTGGGGCCATAACAGTAAGCACAACAGGTCACTGCCTTCCCGGAGTTCATATTTTTTGTTGGAATACTTTTTAGTGGGGTAAGAGACAAATTATAAACAATGAAAAGAAATTTCATATTCTGAGAAGTGCTGTGAAACTGAAGACATTAAAATATTTATACTACAGAGTGTGACTACTTAATTTACTTTCATTTAGACCGAAGGGTCAGGGAAGGAGCAAAGCATTCCAGGCAAAGGGAACTAACTGCAAAGGCTCCAAGGCAAGAACCAGCTTGGTGAGTGAGAGAGAAGTAAGGCCAGCATGGCTAGAATGCAGGGGAAGAGTAGTGAACGGTGTGAAATGAGGCAACAGTGGAGACGGCAGGGGCCAGATCACATACAGCTCCGTAAGCCAAGCTAAGGAATGTGGTTTTAAAGTGTGGTAGGAAGCCTTTGGAGAGCTTAAAGCAAAAAATTAACATGGCCTAACATATGCTTTAAAAAGATCACTCTGGGCATCTGTGGAGAATCTATTATAAAACAAGGAAAAAAATGGGGACACCTGGGTGGCTCTGTTGGTTAAGGATCTGACTTCCGACTCTTGATTTTGGCTCAGATCTCAGGGTTGTGAGATGGAGCCCCTCATGGGCCTCCATGCTGGGCGTGGAGCCTGCTTAAGATTCTCTCCCTCCCTCTCCCTCTGCCCCTCCCCCCTTCTCCTGTGCATTCTCTCTCTCTCTTAAAAAAAACAAAAACAAAAACCAGAAAAATGAGCTGGAAAGTTAGAGTGAGAGCAGGGGGACTGGGTAGGAGGAGTAGAAGCCCAGCTAGAGATGATGGTGGCGTGGACTGAGGTGGTAGTAGTACATTAGCAGACTGTGGGCAGATCGTGCATATTGTCTGGAGGAAGAGTCAATAGGCCTTGCTAACGACATAGCTGGGGTAGGGTGGGGAACAAATCTGGGGTGAGGGAAATTGAGGCCTCAAGAATTCCCATATTTTTGGCCTGAATAATTGGCTAGATGGTGGTGCCAATTTTTAAGATGAGTAAAACTAGTAGATGAACAGATCAGTGAAGAAATTAAGTTTTTTCTGACCATGTTAACTTTGAGATGCCTGATATCTAAGTAGAGATGTCTCCTTGGAAGTAGAATATATCTATCTGGGGTTCAGGAAAAAGATAAGGATAAGGATAGCTATGACATGCACATATATACAATTTGTATATAATAGATGACCAATAATAAATAGCTGCATATTGAACGACTCACTGAAATCATGAATTATAGCTCGTAGCAAAAACTGCACTAGAAAAATACAATATTTACTGTAGGAAACAATTCAGGACTGGCACATTACATCTGTTCCATTCCTAATTTAATAGCAATGCCTCAAGTGTCAAATTCAACATTGAAATAAATCTAGTTTGCATTACATGCCAGTGTATGATAAGGTTTCGAGAAAGTGAACAAAACTTAGCTCAAGTAAAACAAGCTCAGTATTAAAATGATACAGTTGGCAACTGTGTAGTAAATAGTAGAATAGAACAAAGGAAGATATAGTGGTAAAAGACTGGGAAGTGCATATAGGATAAAAAAATCTTATTTCATTTCATTTCAGTTAAATACAATATTAATTTTTATGGTTCTAATACAAAGCCCACTGGGAAAAGCTCAATTATTTCAATTCTTGAAAAAGCGCTTTCCTATAATGTTGAGGACAGAAGAAAAATGATATCCATAAAGGACCTACATAATCTTTCAAATTTACCATGAATTTTGCAGATTAGAAAAATTCCAGCAAAAAATATTTTTAAAAGCAAAAAAAGACCACTGAACAGATGAGAACTAAAATGAACAGATAAGAAAACTGAATAGATGAAAATCAAAACAAAACCACTTTTGCACAAAACTTCATGATATAACTCACCAAATATACGTGATAACATTTTGTTGAGCAATTAAAAATAATGCATTATTCTTTAAAAGACAAGATCTACATGACATTTGATTCAAGAATAGAATCTCTCGGGCGCCTGGGTGGCTCAGTTGGTTAAGCGACTGCCTTCGGCTCAGGTCATGATCCTGGAGTCCCAGGATCGAGTCCCGCATCGGGCTCCCCGCTCGGCGGGGAGTCTGCTTCTCCCTCTGACCCTCTTCCCTCTCGTGCTCTCTCTCTCATTCTCTCTCTCTCAAATAAATAAATAAAATCTTTGGAAAAAAAAAAAGAATAGAATCTCTCTCCTACAACTTAGGAAACTGGCTACTTTGCAAAATCAAATCTACAAATACAGTAGGGGAAATGGTAAACAAGGATATTTGAGAGGATTCACTAAACTAGGGTAGTATTTATCATTTTTGTCCTGTTTTATGCTGAATACTCTCTGTAACTCTCCTTTGAGTATTCCCTGAATAACTCATATTAACATTAAATGCTAATATATTCAGATAGGCATGATTACTTGCAGAATATTAAAAAATGCCTATTTATAGTGTTAATAATTTCTCTTACCAGAAGAACTTGAAAATCAGCCTGCTGGTACACATGGAAGAGTTATAGATGGAAAATATTAAAATGTTATAAAAAGGGGTGTATTTTCTAAAGTGTGAAGGAGAAAAACATTGCTGTTTACTGGTAGAGTACTTTAGAAATATGAAATAAAGACTGCTGGCCTAGAGAAAGAACCCGTGACCATTAAAATCTAGACTTAATACTGAAATATTTATGGACTTTTGTAACTTGGCCCTAAACTTAACATTTCAATTTCATTTCTCATCCCATTCCCTACAATTTTGGGGTATGCTGTTCTCTCAACCTAGAAGGTCCTTCTCCTTACTTCTCTACCTCTAAGATTCTCTCTCATGTTTCAAGGCTTAGTTTAAATACCACCTCCTCCTTGAAGTCTTTCCCAATAAACCACCACTCAGGATTATTCTCTCTCTCCTTCAGATTCTTACAACAGTTTGTAATTCCAGTTTAGCACTTTTTTCAATCTATACTACGTTATACCGCCAAGAAGTAGTTATAAATCTGTTTTCTTCACCTCATTTCAAACAACTTCATTGGCGAGGATAGGTTTTACTTGTTACCGTCTCGCTCTCTCGTTACCTTCTCCTTTCCTCCTCCACTCCCATCTCCATGTGCTGTCTGTATCTTATTTGTTACTCTCCCCTATCCCCACCTCAATCTCCAGAGTGCTTAGCATAATGTTTTGCACAAAGTAGGCATATAATGAAATTAATGAATTATTTCTTCTTTCTTCTCCTCCCCCTCCCCCCTTCTCCTTTTAGAGAGAGAGAGAGAGAGAGTGTGTGTGTGTGCACGAGTGGGTGGTGGGTGGAGGAAAGGGAGAGGAAGAGAGAGAATCTTAAACAGGCTCCACGCCAAGTATGGAGCCCTATGCAGGGCTCAATCTCACAACCCTGAGATCATGACCTGAGCCAAAATCAAGAGCCGGACACTTAACCAACTGAACAGGCGCCCCTGAAGTTAATGAATTTCAAATGCTGACTGAAATTCTTAATACTAGAACTTTAATGAAACTCAAACTCTGGCTTAAACAAAAAGCTGTATGATCTCTAGCCAACATTTTTCTCATTTCTTGATTTAATTTCCAAACTGAGATCTATAAAAAGTTTATATTCCAAACTCTTGGGTATAATTAGTTCACTTTTTCCTTTCATTTGGTAAAGTTTATTGGAACCATCTGTGATATACTATTTAAAAAAATATTTAAAAAAGTATTCCTCTGGGTCAGAACACTTGTTGCATCCCATTAGTTTGTGCCTAAGAGTGGAAATGTCATTCTCTGAGATGAAAGCTTCTTAAAGTTAGGAATACATTGGGATATATAGAGAAATTCTTGATTTTTTGTCAGTAGCCTTTAAGGGATCTATAATTCACATATATCATTTCAACCTTACTACCCTCTAGGATATTGGCTTCTGATAGTTTATTGCTCCACAAATTAAGCCTATCTTAAGTTTCAAATCCCAATAACATTAATTTCCTTATTCTTGGTACAGAATAAATATCTATTCTATTCCACTTATGAAAAAGGTTCCCAAGGGCAGGGACCAAGATGAATCACTGTGCCTCTACGATGACTAATTTATGTCAGGTTGCTAATAAAGATTAATCCAATACATGTTGAATCATTATTTTATAGAACTGAATTATATCTTCCTTTTTGATTTGTATTTTGGATCACATAGTCTGGCCTCTAACTATGTTAGTATAAAGAAGGCACACTACTATATATGCATGTTTATTCAAATAATCACAGCATAAAAGATCCCTTTCAAGTTTAAGAAAAGCTAAAATGTAAGAGCAATTGTCTCCTCTAGTAGTGAGCTACAGTAAACATTATATAAAAAATCGTCAGAAGATCTCATGAAAGAATATCTCAAGTTAAGAACACATACAAGAGGGGAAAATGACTTGCGTTGTTGCCGGAAGCAAACAATGTCAGGCAGTAGTTGGAAAAGTTCTGTAAAATGTCACTTAACAAACACTTGGCCTCCTCAATATAGGCAAGAAGTTTTGCTTTTAATCTAGATATATTTGCTTACTTTAAAAATAGGGAGAAAACTCTGTCCACTAAAAAGGCTTAGAAGCAATAACAATCCAGTGAGAAGCCCAAGCATCCAGATTATAGTCTCTAAGAACCATTCCTCACTAAAAAGAACATGAGTCCTTGGTAGGAATGGCTGATTCCAAGTCTGTGTTAGGAAATATACAAAATGGGCCTGGTATATCTTGTGCCAGAAAGCAAGGAATCTCACTTGCTAATGTGAGTAATATCAAAAGGACATGAAGTAACTTGAAGGAT